TCCTCTTTCCCAAGCTGTCCACCCCCTGGCTACTCCCCTCTTCGCCACCCACTGGCCCCCCCGCCCTGCCTTTGCTCGCTCCCTCCCTTTTCTTTTCACTCTTCTTGGAGGAGTCCCCATCCTCCGGGGACAGCCCAAGGCACTTTGGGGGGAGGGGCCGCCCTGGGGGAGAAGGGGGGAAAGGAAGGGTGCTATCTGCAGTGATGAGCTCCTGGGGGCTGCCCCAGGCATCTCCATGCTGCTGCCCCCTGCTGTGTTTTAGCTCCCAGAAGGTGAAAGTGTGGGGGCGGAGAGGAGTAAAAGAGGCTTTGGATGTTTAAAAACAAGTGTGACTTGGCTTGACATTGGCAGGCAATTTACATGGCTGAGGCCCAAGAAGGGGGTGGGAGTTGCATGCTGGCTGGCATGAGTGTGTAGTGGGGAGAGTAGCATGAAGCATGGTACTGGTAAGGATAGGTCCAGGGCAATGTTTCTTTTAATTGTTTTCCATCCACATGCAGAATAAATTTGATGTGCACTTAGGCGTGACTTGATGTGCACCACCAGTACAAACAAAATACCTCACTGTGGGCACTCTTCTAATCATCAGGGCAGCATTTTCATCTCCTGGGTGGCTGCAAGTGCACAATTTACAGGCAACTTTTCCTAGCATAGGGCTGAGACAGTGGGCTGCGAAGTGTGCCTGTCATAGTGCATGTATCCATGCAGTCTTCTCCCTCCACCACTGCATGTCTCAGCCTAGTGTAAGTTCAGAAAATCATTTTTGTAAACTGGTGCTGGCTTTACTCAGATCACAGGCTGGCATTCCATTAAGTGGATTCATAAAATACACTAGTGGTACTTCCACCCTGACCCTTCTCCCTCACAAGGTCCCTACCAGCACTCTGGGCAGGGGAGTTGGTGTGAGGTTGTGTCTTATGTTTTTTCCAGTGTCAGTTCATGTCTACTTCGAGAGAGAACCAATGCGGAGAGTGAATTAGAACATGGCCATCCCTTCATGTGGTGATAGCATGGTTCCAATTCATAGTGTGGATGGGGTTTATTGATGTTTAGGCTCTTGGATGCTATTCATTGCTGTGATATTAGTGACATTCATGCAATTAGCCTTGGAACACCTCTAGGTGAGAGAGAGGTTATGCCCCTTTCACAGGCAGGAAAACTGAAATGCTGTCAGATTTTTAAAGGTATTTTGGTGCGTAAAAGAAACAGGTGGCTGTTAGTGAGATTTTTTTCAAAAGCATCCACCTCCCCTTACAAATCAGTCTTTAGGTATCTTTATACCTTTGGAAATCTGGTCCTAAGTGACTTGCCCAAGGTCACATGAGATATTTGTGGCAGTGGCAGGACCCCAGAGATCACAAGATTTCTCTCTCTCTCTCTCTCTCTCTCTCTCTCGCTCTCTCTCAGGGGTGTTCCCCTAGAAAATCTAATCCCCTGGATTATTATGTTAAAGTCCTGTCTTTTACAAAATTGAGCCAACTTGTAATTGAGTCCTCTGAGTTTGTCACATTTGTAATGTAACCAGGTGTCTAGTGAAGTGCTGAGGGCTTGAGGCTTTCTCTGTCCCAGGCATCTTGTTGTAGAGGATCCTGGATATCCAAGGCATTTGAGTAAGTGGGGTGTGGATCCTGGAAAGTGTTTTAAGATTGGAATCTTGCGTCACTGTCCCTTGCTTGGTTAAGATTTCTGAGAAGTGACTGCACAGATTTATGCCATGCAGTTTTGAGCATGGGAGGGGCTGCTTTCAGATAGCTGTTTTGTAGTTTGCTTCGTAGTTTGCTTCAATTTTTTTTAACAAGCTGTTTATAGTGAGATTTTCCATTTCTAGTCCAAACTGGAAAAGATGCCACTGCAGGATTATTTCAGTAGTTCAGAGGTGTTAAAACTCCAAATAAACTTTCTCTCGGACCATCTCCTATTTCCATACAATCCCAAACCAAAGATCATAGTGTCCTAAGAAACTTTGACGTGCTATTCTCCCTGGATATAAAGGAGCCAAATGTTTACCTCACTAGCTGGAACAACTTAGTCTCAATTAATTTGTTTTTAAAAGACACGTAGGAGGAAAAATTCAGAACCACTATGAATAAAAGAAAAGATGGCTCTGTATTTATTGTAGATGAGAACTACATTTTAATAATATTATTAACTAGGTTGTTCTGTGACCTGGCTACATTGTGCAATATTTGATACTTAGCTTGGGAGGGGAAAGCAGAGTGTGTCAGTCTGTTTAGAATGCATGGTACCTCTTAGTTTATCATTATACTAGTATTTTGACAACACCCCTGCTGCCTTGGATTCCTGATCCACCTCTATGGGTGGGAGAAGTAGGTGCTCTTATTGCATTTTTATTTCGTCACTGTTAGTTGTTGGTGTGAAAATAAATTGGCTGGCACCTCTCCAGTTTTTAGCCTCATCTGCACAGGTTACATTGTTTCTAAAGTAGAGGCCAGATCCTGAGAGCTCATGAACAGCCAGCAACACCTAATATTCAGTGAGAGTTATGGGTGTTCACCTTCTCTTGGGATCAGGCTATTATTCTAATACAGATGGACTGGATATTGAATTTAAAGTTTAGATGCAGCCTGGTAGATAAAGAAACAAGCTGTGCAGAGTCTGCGGCACCTATGCAGACAGGAGATGGAATACGTGTTTCCCTTTCTTACTATTTTATTCTAATTTTTAAGTTCATAATCATACAAGCAAGCTCATGGTTTTGTGAATGAGGGGTTGGAAACTTAATTTTCTCCAGCATTTCACCCTTCCTCTTGCTTTCCACCTCTGTGTATTTTTCTCTGAGCCTCTTTTTTCCCTCTGCAACTCTTATGCATATGAAAATCGCTAGGGGGATTATTCATGAGAATAAGGAATGCAGGAGCAGGAATTTAGGCTACGTCTTCATTGGCATGATCTTGCGCAAATATTCTTTAACGACGCTATCTTGCGCAAGAAAGCTCCGATGGCCATTTTAGCCATCAGGCTTCCTTGCACAAGAAATTCATGTTGCCTGTCTACATTGGCCTCTTGCGCAAGGACAGTTGTGCAAGAGGGCTTGTTCTGAGCGGGAGCATCAGAGTTCTTGCGCAAGAAGCACTGATTTCACACATTAGAACGTCAGTGTTCTTGCGCAAGAACTCCCCGCCAGTGTAGACAGGCAGCATGCTTTTGCACAAAAGTGGCCGCTTTGGCACAAGATCGCGCCAATGTAGACACAGCCTTAATGTGTCTGTAACATGTTATCTTCTTCTTGCTCCCACAGTGTGCCATCATGACTGCTTGGGCTGGCAGTAGTCTAAGGGCTGGTGGCAAGAGGGCCTGCTCAGAGAGCCCTCTGGCTTCCCCTGCTGCTCTGACAGATTTCCTCTGGCCTGATACAAGGCCTGCAGTATATCAGAGCAGAATCTGGGGTGAATATTTCAGGTTATTTGGGCAGGCTGAGAGGGAGGAATGCAGGTTTTTTTTTATTTAACAAAAAGTTTCATCTTTATTTTGTCATTTAGAGGGCATGTCTTCTTTAGGAAATTATTTCAAAATAAAAACTCCCAAAATAACAAAACCAAAATAGCATACAAAATTAGTCCGAGACAGGCTCTGTTATTGTGGATGTGTTAACTCTACTTAGAGCCCCAGGAGGCACTGGGGAGTAATTACTTTGACTGACTCTGGGGAGCAGTTATTTTGAAATAGCAGAGGCACAGCGTCCACACTAACACTATTTTGAAATAACTATTTTGAAATAAGCTTCAGGGGGTAGCCAAGTTAGTCTGTACAGAATAAATTTAAAAAACAACTAATAGTTTGGTAGCACTTTATAGATTAACAAGACATGTAGATGGTATCATGAGCTTTCGTGAGTTATGCTTATTTTGAAATAAGCATTATTCCCCGAGGAAAGCAGGAGTACAGATTTCGAAATAAACAGCCCATTGTTTTGAAATAACTGGTTGGTAGTATGGACATTATGCTTATTATTTCAAAATAAGAGAGGTTATTTCGAAATAACTCCTTAGTGTAGACCAAGGCTTAGACTTTGTGCCCAATTATAAAATCTCAAGTATAGACTCTAGTACAAATGCAGTAATCTGAGCTACAAGTTGTTTGATGTACCTCGATTATACATAGACAGCAATTTGACAGAGATGCTAGCAATGACAAAACAAGAGTAAAGCTCTGGTGGCTTGTTTGTCACTAGTTCTTTAAGATATAATTATAGTTTTGGTTTGTTTTTATCTAGTGTATGTTTTGTGTACACTTAAAAAAGCAACCCTCTGCCTCTTCATTCTCTTCTCTGCTTTCTGCTACATATTATGTGTTGATTCCCCTCTTAAATGTATTGCTGGTTGCCTGCCTGACTTGGTGGCTTCCCCCTCCCCCACATTCCCTCAAAATGTTTGTTTCATTTTAAAAACTGAGGATGTAAAGTACTTGTTGATGTGTGTATTTATACTTTCCCAATGTCTCTTAATTGCCTCCTTGTTGAACCACAATATTCCACAAGCTACATACAGGCCTCTTACATGCTTTAGAATTTGTTTGAAAGCACTCGATATGGTTAAGGTTGCAGATGTTTCCATTATTGCTTCATCCATGTACTTGCACTCATAACTTCCCGAAAGTTTCAGCCTTGGGGTGTCATTGTTCCGTGTTTGAGCTGTCTGCAAAGATGGATGTTTTGGGGAAAAATTGAAGAGAAGCCTTCAGCTGTCTTTGAGTGGAGGGAGAGGGGGCATTTTAAGAAGTTCTAATATATTTTCGGACAAGGCTACATCAGAAATAGCTGAAGTTTAACTGGTGGAACGTGGCTTGTAAATTCACCTTACTATGGAGCAGTGTCTGACGGTGGATAGTTTTGATTTAAATAATGAGCATTTCAAAATTCACTGAGGGCAGAAGCCATTTAAAGCAGGCTGCAGCTGGGAAGTGAGTATATTTCTGTCTATCAACTCTCTCTTTTTCTGGTTGAGGAATACTCAGGTCAATCCCTGAATGACTTGCTCTCCATTCTGAACAAGGGCTCAATATGCTCCCAGTTGATTTTTAAGTTTATATTAACAATGTGTCAGTGGTGTGTTAGAGGGACGCCTGGGGCCATATCTGGGTTAATTTATAGACAGACATATACACAGTCTGCTCTCTGACAATTTAAGTTCAATAGAAATACTTCCAAGAAACTTAAAATTGTCTTCAGGAGAAAGTGCTTTGAACAAACAGCCCTGTATTTGCAACCTGAACATTGGGTTAGTGCTTGAACGGGAAACTATGTAGCATTTTCTCCTACTGTTTTCCTTGTCAATTATATAGTTTACTAGTGTTTGCTGGTTTGCATAATATATAATGCTAATAATTTTTATATCAAATATGCAGCTTGTGAATTGCAAATGCTGTAGGAATCTTAATTCTTGCATTGCAGGCCTCTTATTTTAATTGGATAACTCTAAAGTTGCCTGAACACAGTATTTTCACATTTATTTGTATAGTACAAAGAAATAATTGAAATGCGGGTCTGCAATTTGATCCAGGATGGAACTGCAGCCCCATAATTCAGAAGTATTTGAATAACAATTTTTAAGGCTGTTGCCTGATTTTTTCCCCTCTCTCTTCATTGCTCCTGCTGTGAAGTGTTATCAAAGTCTTTAGGGTTGGGTGGCACCATCCCCACCATTTGAAAGGGGTTAGCATTTTGCTCTAAATGTAAATTTAAAAAAGTGTGTGACTGTGATCAGTGTTCCCTCTAAGCTGGGCTGCAGCATAGCTTCACAGGTGATTCATCAGATCTGCCCCAGGGGGGTCAGAGCTGATGAATCACCTGTGAAGCTGTGCTTAAACCCAGATTAGAGGGAACACTGAGGCTATATCTACACTCAGTGGCTTCTTGGGCGAGTAATATGCAAATGAGGCTAAGCATGGAATATCGCTGAGCCTCATTTGCATGCATAATGAGCCACCATTTTTTCAGAAGAGGCTCTTGCGCAAGAAGGAGCGTCTACACTGCCCCTTCTTGAGCAAGAAGGGGCAGTGTAGACGCTCCTTCTTGCGCAAGAAGGAGCGTCTACACTGCCCCTTCTTGAGCAAGAAAAACCCTCTTGCCCAATGCCGTTCTTCCTGAAAAGTAATAGGTGTAATGGCATTGCGCAAGAGGGTTTTTCTTGAGCAAGAAGGGGCAGTGTAGACGCTCCTTCTTGCGCAAGAGCCTCTTCTGAAAAAATGGTGGCTCATTAGGTATGCAAATGAGGCTTGGCGATATTCCACGCTTAACCTCATTTGCATATTACTGGCACAAGAAGCCACGAGTGTAGACATAGCCTAATTGTGATATCACTTCTGTGATTTAAGAATGGGAATAACTCCACCTGTAAATTAGGATCTCTTCTGATGGAAATGCCGTGTGTTTGTCTCTAATGTGTGTATATGTGCATGCACACGATGTCTGCAAAGGGGCTACTGGGCTTTAAAAGGCTCCTGTGTGCTAAAGATGTCCTGTGCTCACTAGTGGTCCGCAGCAGAGTCCACTCACCAGAGGTGCATTCTCTCATGGTTAGGTGTCACAATCCTCCTCCGGCACCTGCTGTAGACAGCCACTCTGGCCCTGCAGTAAGTAGTCTGTGGTTTCCTGTCACTTGGGCCTTCAGCTAGGTTCTCTGGTTTTTGCCAAAAAGCAGAGCCTGACAGCACTGCACCAAAGCCTTAGCCCAATGTTGGCCTTTTTGGGCCTTTCTGCTCACACCACGGCTCTAGGCGGGCTATTGGAGGAGCCCAATTCAGTGCTTTACTCTGGGGTCCAGCCTAGGGACCCTGTAGGAAGCAGATAGGGCCTGTTCATTCAGACTCTCTGCCGTTTCCCTGCACTGCTTCCTACCAAGGCCTGCTGGAAGCCTGTCTCTCAGGCTCTCCCCAGGCTGACCCTTGTGCAGATCTCAAAACAAAGGGGAGCCAAACTGCCCAGAGAAGCTCTGACATTTGGGTGGCTCCAGCTCTCCATGAGGCAGGCCGCATTCCTTCATAGGGCTGGCTCAAGAGGTCTGCTCCCAAGCTGGGCTTGCCTCTTTTAACACCTTGCACAGGTTCAGTGGGGCTGATTGGGGCCATAGGCTCTCATTTAACCCTTGGTCAGTGTGGGTTTGTATACTCCATCACATGCACCAATCACACATGTTGCTGAGTTCACATATATGCCCTTGACTGACTGAGAAGTGAGGGTGCTCAGTGCTTTGCAGGGGCACTGGTTATTGGACAGGTCCCAGGTTTTTTTTCAGTAGTTCTAGGAAGAGAACTACTGAACACACTAAGAGCTTAGCTCATGTTATATGAAACCAAGTCATTGACATATACAGTGAAAATGAGAATCAAAATTAAACACTGCAAACTAGAAACCCTAGTTACAGACAAACTGTCTTGTATTCCCAATTCTCCCCTGCTCATTTTATTTGTATATGCTCCCTAATTTTATTCATTTAGACAAAGATAATAATAACACATCTAGGCACAGCTGTGGGTGCCTATCTGGAGTTCACAACACAGTAAATAAAATCCTAGCAGCATAAGTAATCATTGCAACAGGAACTCAAGCAGCCATGTACTCGCAGAGAGTCCTGGTGACCCCTTTACTGTTTGGGGAAGCATACATTCAGCCCTCTCCAAAAACCCTCTCAGATTTTTTAAGGCTGCCCATTGCAACTGATCTGATGTTTTGCCCTTATCTTCTGCTGAAACCCTACCCAAATGGAACCTTCTCTGTGTAATCCAAGTGTTACAAGAGGTCAGTTCAATTTCTGCCATGGTATTTGGCTGGCAGTAGTACGTAGGTGTGCCAGTCATGGATCTGGGCTCCATTATGCTAGCTGCTGTACAAACACAGAGCCAGAATACTAATGCTGCACCAAAACTGTACCATCTCTAGAGCCCTGCAAATCCATGGGTATCCTCTTTATAGCCACAGGTATCTGCATTCGTGGATGTGCATGTGGATAGCCACAGCTGTTTTGTGGATATGGATACGGCTATAAATTTTATACTGCACAGGGCTCTAACCATCTAAGTATAAAATGAGGCAAGGGATGATATTAGGAGTGTAATGGTGTAGTCAGTTAAACGATTAACTGATAAATGGCTGCTTATCAGTTAACGCTATTGGCAACACGCAGCTCCCTATGGCTCTGCCTTTACTCCCCTAGCTCTGCATTTTAAGGAGCTTGAGAACCAATGGGCAGGGACGCTGGCTTAGTCCTGGTTTGCACCAGGCAACTACCCCGATGCAGGTCTGCATTTAAATCTTTTAGATGCAGTATGATGTATCACAATGGGAGCAGGCAGATTTTGCGTGACATACAGCTACATTGTTAGTCTATAAAGTGCTACCAGGCCATTTGTTGTTTTTTTTACTGTACAGACTAACTCAGCTACCTCCTGAAATTTCTAAGACAGTTTCAAAATGTGAAATGGATGGATAACACACAATCTATTGACTGTTTGAGTGTGAAAGAAGAATTGAAGTTCATTCTTGTCTTTTTTTTTTTTTTTTTGTAGTCACAATCTCAGTTTTTGTGAGGAGGGCTTTGAACATCTTGGCAGTTTAAATTTTAACAAACGAGGATCTTTAAGCAGGACAAAGGGCATTTAAGGATTTGGTTTTTGTTGCTTGGGGGTAGTGGCTAGATTTCCTTCTCAAATTCCATTTAGCACAGGAGTAGGGGTAGGGATTTCCATACTGCTCCAGTAATGGTACATTTGCTACACTTCAAAGGTGGAGGCACCCTATCGACTAATGGAAAAGTCGATGCAAAATGCATCAACTGTTCGATTAGTCAATTACTTGCAATTGAACATCCCTAATCTCAAGCTTCTTTCTAATTGCAAGAGTATTTGTGTGGAACCATGTCCCCATAGGCACATTATACTCTTTTTATCAAGATATGACCCTAGGATCTCTTTTTGAACATTTTCCCTTTTTAAAATTATTTCTAAGTAGGAAAGTGCTAGTCTGGGCTGTTTTGTTAATCTGAGGTAGATCTATTTAAAATAACCTCAATCACATTGATACAGAAGGGGAACAGTCATTGGGTTGGAATCCGTGTAAGGAAACGCACGTGAATAATTCATTAAGAGCAAAATCCACTTGTTCCAATGCTCTCCTCCTTCATGTTCCATGGAAATGTAACAGAGGTTTTCAATAACAGACTGCACTCAGTGCTCCAGATAGTTAGTATGTTAATGTTTCTCTAAAACAGGAGTGGGGAACTTTTTTTGGGTCAGGGGCGACTGACCCACAGAAAAATCAGTTGGGAGCTGCACACAAGTGAGAAGCACAAAAACAGTACAAACA